CCGGCCGACCCTCCCACTCCGGGGGGCTCAGAGGACCCGCCCCTCAGCCCCGGCCGCCTGCAATCCGGCGCCCCTACCCAGTTCTCAGAGACCCCCGGGTTGGGACAGCCCCGACGTCCCGGATCCTGCTTGGGCCTCGGATCTGTGGGTCGCGGACCCAATCCCGGCTGCGGAAGCCCAGGCACAGACCCTTTGAAGTCGCTTCCACGGGGCGGTGCCCCAGCCCGGGGAGGGATCGTGCACGTGGGGGATGGGCTGCGCCGGGCTCACATACCTCCTCAAGGGTCTGACCCTCTGAACCCAGCACTGATGTCGGAACCCTGGGCCTGAGCCGGCCTGGGCAGGGACACAGACCCAGAACTACAGCAGGCAGCGCCAAGTATGGAGGTGGAGTTTGGGGAGGCCAGGAAGGCTGCCTGGAGGAGGTGACGCCTAACTTGCGTCTAGAAGCCAGGTGCTCAGTCTTTCCCGGTGTCTGTGCTCCCTCAGGACTCTCCGGCCTTCTCTTGCTGCCAGCTCCTCCCAGGCCATCTACCTGTCTGCACAGCCTCCTCCTCTCCTCCTTTGCAAGGAGGTTTGTTTCCTCAGGCTTCCTAGGAAAGGAGCAGCTACAGTGGCTGGGGGTCATGGCTGGGGTCGTGGCTTTGTGGTATGGAAGGGAGAAGGATGGGCAGCTCTTCACCTGGGCCCTTCTCTCCCCAAGGTCTTCTCTTCAATCCCAACAGTTGTTCTCCAGGGATGTCCTTGAACAGCCTCTGCAGGTGCCACGGCTCAGCCAGGGCCCCACCTACCACCCTCTGGCTCTCGGGTACCTCCAACTGGCTACATGAGGGAGATGCCATTTGCTTCTCCAGACCCTGTCGGAGGCCCCTAATTTAGCCAACATCCTTAACAACCTTGCATGCCCTCTCAGCCAAGCTAAGGGCCCTGCTCTCAGAATTTCTCACAGGTTGTGGGTTGAGATGTGTCCACTGGGTCGCTAACAGACCCAAAGACGAGAACTATTTGTGAGCTACAAACCCAGGGCAGTCCAAGGAAGGGAGGGACCCTTCAGGATAGAATGTGGATGCCTCTCTGGGAGGTGAGGTCCTGCTCTCTGTTCAGCTGGGAGACAAACCACATAAATGGTGTATGTGTGGTAGTGGTATGTATGTGGGGGTGTGTGTGGTGTGCTTGTGGGGGGTACGTTGGGACCCACAGAGCACCAGCCATTGGGGCTCTCAACACTGTGGTAGAGGAGGTGTGTGCTCAGCCGCATGCAGACTTGGGCCCCACTGGACGGCAGTGGAAGCACCAGCAGGAGAGTTGGTCTCTGGGGTCTGTAGGCCAGAAGGTCCCCAGGACTAAATAGGGGAGAGTCAGAGTAACCATCACTTATAGGAGTCTGAGCCGAGGGCTGGGTGTACAACGCAGTACATGGTCAGAGACCCTTCCTCTGGATCCCAAGAGTCACAGAATGTAAATGGTGTAGAGCTTTGCTGGGGGAAGGAATCCTGAAGTGTCTGTGGAAAGTTCCACCCATGGGGCAGCCTCTGGGTCTAGGAGCCCTCTCCAAGGTGGGGATTGGTGGAGGCCAGGTCATGCTTCACCTCTGCCTAGTGGCCTTCACGTGTTTACTGCACACCCCACCAGGCATCTGTGCTGCTGGACATAACCAGACTGTTCATTTTGTGCATTCTTCATTTATTCAACCAGCGTGTATCGAGTGCCCTCCATATGGTAAATCCTGTCCAGGGTTGGGGTTGAGGCATCCATGAGGGCAGGGGCTGTGTCTATCTTATCTATTTATGTTTCCTCAGCACCCAGCAGAGAACCTGGCACACAGAAGGTATTCAAAAACATTTGCTATTAACAACACTACCGATGTGATGAGAACTATTATTTTAGCTCATCCCTTGGACATAACCCAGGGAGAGGCAGGGAGGGCATGAGGGAGCTTAAGAGGGTAAAACTTAATGCTCTTGCTGCCTTGGAGAGCCACACCCAGTGGCTCAGGGCATGATGCCCAGGCCTGTGTACAGCCAGATCTGTCCAAGGTCAGGAGAAACCACCATGCTCTTTCCTCAATAGGCAGGCAGGGCTGGTAGGCTCTGAAAGGAGCAGATACCCTTAGGAAATGCCCTTGGGCCTAAGCTTAGGGAGAGAGGACTGAAGGGGTGGGGCAGGAACAGCCTCAGGCTGAGGGCAAGGTCACCCCAGGGGACAACCCAGGAGACTGCCCAGAGTTGGACGTAGCCTTGGATAGAGGAATGGAGTGAAGCTAATAGGGCCACCCACACTTAAGGATACCTTCTTGTGAGGCGATGGGAGCTAGCCAGAGAGCTCAGATGCTGATCTGCTCCTCCCTGGCCAAGTGGCCACAGGTTTCTGGGTAGAGCCTGCCCTATTCAGTCTCAGCTCCTCAGAACTCATACATCCCTCCACCAAGGTCTAGCCCTCTAGCCCCAGCTAATAGCCTGGATTCAAGGGGATGAAAGTCCTTGATGGGAAGTCCCCTCTTCTTGGAACACCCAATTCACAGTACTGACCACTCCAGGGTTCTAGACAGCAGCCAGAGAGAACTTTAGGAGTCCTCCTCCCACCTGTTTTTAAAGACAGGGTCTTGCTCTGTCTCCCTGACTGGAGTGCAGTGGCGCAATTATAGCTCACTGCAGGCTCAAACTCCTGGGCTCAAGTGATCTTCTCACCTCAGCGTCCTGAGTAGCTAGAATCACAGGTGTGTCCCACCTCACTTGGCTAAATTTCTTATTTTATTCGTAGCGATAGAGTCTCTCTATGTTGCCCAGGCTGGTCTCAGACTCTCAGGCTCAAGCAATCCTCCTGCCTTGGCCTCCCAAAGCACTGGAATTACAAGCGAGACACCACACCCGGCCTCCATTCCAGTGTGGCCTATCTGGCTCATCTCCAGGCCCCATGGCCTCTGGCTACCCAGGAGTCTGCTCTCCAAGCAGCCTGCTGGTCAAGGTCAGGAGGCTGTGTGTCTGTGTGGTGGAGAGAAAGCAGTCTGGAGGGGCAGACCTGCACTGAGGGGGGCTGCGTGGGCTTCCTGCGGGGCTAGAACCAGGCCTGAGAGTGACAAGCTGGCCCTAGGCAGGGTCAGGGGCTCTGGAAAGAATGGAGGCAGCCAGGGGCAGTTTCCAGAAGGAAGGTCTGGGATGGTTCAGCATGTGAGGTGGGCTAGGGGCTGATGCCCAGCATGGCCTGGGAGGGCAGAACTCAGGAAGGCGGTAGCAACGCTGGCCTTGGAGCTGTGTTTGGTTCAGCAGAACACACAGGGGAGGGCGTGCCTGTAACAAAGGGAGTTTCCCAGCTCTGGTTTTGTGCCATTTAATCCCTCAATAAACAATAACGGCGTGCCTGCTGTGTGTCCAGCCTGAACCTGGTCAACTTGACCTGCGGGTATGGTGGGGACTCCCTCTGGGCACTGAGAGGCTAGAGGCTCTGGAGGAAGCCAGTTTCCAAGGGTCTAAACAGCAATAAAGTTGATTCTGCCAACTGGGACCTAGATTCCAGCCCTGAGTCAGATTCCAGGGCAGATACAAGAACAGAACCAATTCTCTTTTCAGGAAACAGCCTCAGGGAGGGTAAGTGACCACCCCAAGCTCACAGTTTCAAGGGGCGGGTGTGGAGTTTAGACCCTATGTTGGCGCTATGCCCCTTGCACCAGGGATGAGATGCCTCTCCATCATACCTGCGGTCCCCAGTAGCACCCCTGTCAGACCTGTTCTGTCTCTGTTTTCACAGAGAAAACCAGTCTGCTCTGGGACCCAACAAAGGGGCTGCCAGGCAGTAGGGCGGGGACAGGTTTACCCAGCTGGGACCAGAGAGGACTTGGCCTCGAGGCCTGGGAGCAGAATGGTGTAGGAAGGAGTGGCATCTCACATGGGGGGAGGAGGGAGAGGCGGCAGACAGGTGGGAGAGCCAGAAGCAGCTCAGCCCAGTACTGGCAGCAAAGTGACAGAACAGGCCTTTAGCAGAGGCAGTGAGGCCCATGTAATGAATTGTGCAACTAGGGCCTCAGGAAGACAGCTTACAAAGGCACCACAGCCTCACCCTTGCCTGGAGCAGATCCCCATCCCTTCTTCCCTCAAACTTCCTCTTTTTTTTTTGAGTCAGAGTCTCACTCTGTCACCCAGGCTGGAGTCCAGTGGCACACTTATGGCCACCGCAGCCTCAATCTGCTGGGCTCGAGCAATCCTTCCACCTCAGCCTTACGAATAGCTGGAACTACAGACACACACCACCACGCCCAGCTAATCTTTTGATCTATTGTAGAGATGAGGTCTCAAACCTGTGGGCTCAGGTAACCCTCTCGCCTCCACCTCCCAAAGTGCTGGGATTATAGGGGTGAGCCACCACACACCAGCTTCCCTCTCATTTCCTATTCAAGCTGGGAGTGTAGGCAGCCTGCCCAAGATCACCCAACCTGCCCAGCATCAAACACCTCAATTCTGCAGCCCCCAAATAGGGGCCCAACCCAGGAGTTCTCAGGCCTCCAACTTCCCCAACAGCTGAAGGCTGCTATTAGCCCAGTCATGCTGGTCTCTATGAGAAGAAGGTTTTACAAATCAGTAAAAGGTTTTACAAATCAGCTCCTCCAGGCAGAGCAGCAGAGGCTTCGGGGAACAACTGAACTGAGTGCTCATTCTACTCCCTAGACACTCTTGGCCTTGGCCTGACCATCGCCACATGTGGACAAAAGCAAGGGTGCAGCACCCTTCCTTTCCTTAGTCTAGGAGAGAGGGAGGGAGAGAGAGAGAGAGAGAGAGAAAGAGAGAGAGAGAGAGAGAGAGAGAGAGAGAGAGAGAGAAAGCAAGAGAATGAACACCAGCCCGCTATGTGGGGAAGGTAAGGCTTTACCCAAATATAAGAATGACAGAGGGGGCCGGGCTTGGTGGCTCAACCTGTAACCCCAGCACTTTGGGAGGCCGAGGCAAGTGGATTGCCTGAGCCTGCGGATTTGAGACCAGCCTGGGAAGCTTGGCGAGACTTCATCTCTACAATAAAATAAAAAATAGCTGGGCGTGGTAGTGCGTGTCTGTAATTCCGGCTACTCAGAAGGTTGAGGCGGAAGGATCGCGGGGCCCCAGAAGGTTGACGCTGGGGTGGCCGTTAGCGTGTGTGCCACTACACTCCAGCCTGGGCAAAGGAGTGAGACTTCAACTGAAAAAAAAAAAAAAAAAAAAAAATGACAGAGGAGACACATGTGGTTCCAGCACAGAAATCCAGTTACTGAGGCTCCTCAGACACACACCACCACTCATCTGTCAGCTGGGGCTCATGGCACAACTTTAGCCCTGTCCCAGACCACAAATCCAAATATAGCATGTAGCAGTGGCCTGCCAAGGACAGTATGGTAATGGGCCTGAGGACCCTCCTCTTCTCATCAACTGGAGCTGACCCCTCGGGCTATGCAGAGGGTAGGGGAGGTCCAGGCCACTCCTTTATTTATTTATTATTAATTTATTTATTTGACTAACTCTGCTGCCTAGGTTGACGTGCGGTGGTATGATCATAGCGCACTGTAACCT